TAATAATTTTAATATAAATTTTTAATTTTTAAAATAAAAAATTATATAAAATATAAATTTAATATAATAAATAAATATTAACTGAAAAATTCATCCTAAAAATATTATGAATTTGAGGAAAAGAAAGTACTAATAGTGCCGTGGACGAACTAATGATTTCTCATGGAGTCACAGTTAAACCCTACTGAGCGGACTGATGGTTGCGTGTTTTATTGAAGCATGTGAATTGTTAATTTAGTTTGAAAATCGAATTTTCATTATTAACACTTAATAATATTAATCTATTAATTATTATTCTTATAAAAAAAATCAAAGTGAAAACACCACCGACATTGACGGATGTTACGTCAAGTCGAATTCTTTTTTAAATTAGTTTCTTCATTGATATTTTCAATTTGACGACTTGGAATTCAACCTCGGCAACTTGCAAGTAAGGGTTTAATTTAGTAAATGAAATCAAATCTGAAAAAGTAAAATAAAATATATAAAGAAAATTTTATTTTATAATTTAAAATATATCAAATTATAAAATAGAGGATAAATATTAAAAATTAATTTTTATCTAATAATTAATATTATATAATTTGATTCAATTTAAAATGCACAATAATTTTTTCATTTATAAAACTCATATTATTAAAGCATAAAATCAAACTTTTAATACTCATTTATCTTAAAAATATCTCTCTTACTTAATTTGAAATCTTACGAAATACTATAATTAATGCGATGAAACTATAAATGATATAGATATAATTTATAGGTGTGGTATAAATGTACATAGAGAACTAATGATAATTTTGGATAATGTATTAATGATTATACGTATATTACAAGAAAGAGAAGACAAGTATCTCTTATGTATCTTATGTAAATATAATTTAGGTTAAACTCTCATTTTGGTCCCTCAACTATTGTACGGACTTCTGATTTAATCCCTTAACTCAATAAATCCTTGATTTAGTCCCTACTGTTTATCATTTTAACCCCAACTTGATCCCTCCGTTAAATTTTTGACTACGTGTCTCGTTACTTGACAGAAAAAAATGACATGGAAAAACAGTTTGATACGTAGGATTAACAGTATGACAACTAAGTTTTAATAAGTAATTTTTAATTAAAAATTAAAATATTTTAAACTAATTATAAAATCAAAGTTACTTTTTTACCCTCTTCTTCAACCACACATCAATTTCTTTCCTTTCTCCTTTCGTTACCCTTCCTTTTCATCTCCAGCCTCTTTGGTTGTTCATCTTCTTCCTTCAGTAAACTTCATTTTATCTCTCCCTTTCCCAACTCCAGATTTGGGTTGATTGAACCTAGTGGTTGTTCATCTTCTTCCCCCCAGCAGGCTTCGTTTTCTCTCTCCCTTCCCTAACACCAGATCCAGGTTCGATCGAGCCCAGCGGCGCTTGCTGGGTTCCATCGAAACCCAACGAGCGCTGCTGGGTTAGATTAAGCCTCACGGCGCTTACTGGGTTCATGGAACCCAGGGTAAATAAAAATGATTTTTTTTTGTGGGTATTATTGTTTGATGATGAAGATGAAGAATGATTTCGAACTCAAGGGCAAAAAATAAAAATGATTTTGTTTTTTTTTTTTCATGGGTATTGTTGTTTGATGATGAAAATGAGGTGATGGAAAAGTAGATCTAGAAGAGAAAGGTGTGAGAAAAATCAAGGGGAAGAAGATGAATAGATTTGATGAGGAAAATTGGATGTGGTTTCATGTTGGGTTCAATTGAACCCACATTTACTAGTTTCCTTTCAAACTCAACCTTGGTTCAAATGCAACAAGTTCTGCATTTAATCAAACCTAGTCTTGATGGGTTTGAAGCACGTTGGGTTCCAACCAAGCTACTAAGTTCGATTACTACTAAGTTCGATTTCTAGATCTAATTGCTTGCTCAACTCTGGTGGTCTTGGTGCAACTCTCACGAGTTGCTCAACCCTTAAACCCTTGCTAAGATGAGAGGAAGAAGATGATGGCAAAATTGTTATTTCACGTGAGGGCAAAGTTATAATTTAGTTTAATTATAAGGGTAAAATTTTTATTTCATTTGACATGTCATCATTTTTTGCCACATTGTGTTAAAGTGTTTTGACGTGTCATCGTTCTTCCGTCAAGTAACATGCCAAGTCAAGGATTTTTTAACGGAAGGACCAAGTTCGGGTTAAAATGGTAAATAATAAGGACGAAATCAGGGATTTATTAAGTTAACGGACTAAATCAAAAGTCCATACAATAGTTGAGGGACCAAAATGGGAGTTTAACCTATAATTTATAGGTGTAATATAAATGTCATTTTTACCATTAAAATTCGAAGAACATATTTACAGTGTTATAACGTTAGTTCGATAGAGGGATGATGCGCGGATCTTTCTCTAAAATTCAAGGATGTTTATGCCTTGTTTTAAAGTAAAAAGATGAGAATAAATTTCTTTTAGGAAGTTGAAAGATTTTTAGTGGTATTGTTTCCTCAAAAATCCTCTAGTGGCCTCGCACGTGTGAAATCTGATGCGGGCGTGCCACTTACTTTGCTGAAAGTAAGAAAGGAGGACTTTCCCAACGACCCTCTCTTTCCTCACGGTCGACCTCTTCGCAGATGGCGGGAAGAACGTTGGATTAAAATGAAATTTGCGCCTTCAGACGATTTGCAAGAGGGAGGGATACCTTCCTGCAGAATGGGTTACGAAATCTGCCTTGGACAACTCCAAGGACTTAAACACTACCGTGATTTACAATTAACAAATCCTAATTATTCTAAATTACTTGCAATTTAAAATAAACTTGCGAGAAAGAAGTGTTCCCAAATTAAATTAAACATGCTTGTGATAAAATTAAAAGTGCAATCTATTGACAGATTCGGAAATTAAATTGTTGCAGATCTGGAAACTTAAACCTAATTAGCACTGAAATTAAACATGAACAATGAATAAATTGCGTGAACAGTGAATAAATTGAAGAAACTTGAATTTGGAAAGAAGCATGAAGGCCTCATAAGTAATCATTGAAACAATGCTACTTAACATAAACATTAAATTAATTTCAAATGAAAAGAAAACAATACTTTGCATAAACTTGAAGGATTGAAGTTCATTGCATGAAGGAAAATTGTTTTAACTGAATATAGGAATAAATTTGTCTACTGGAATAAGGAAAAACAACCTAATTCTAATGGAATCTGTGCTGAAATACAAAATCTGTACTGAAAAACCGAAATCTGGAAGCATGTGCAGAGAAAATCAAAGCATGAAAAGTTGCAATTGTTTGAGTAGGGCTGGCCGTGTCTTCCTTCTGTGCTGAAGTTCCCTTTTTGTTCCTTTTTGTGCCGGCAGTTACTCAATCCTAGGTAGTTTGTTGGAGTAGTGGGACACCTCACCCTTTGACCTAGTCTAAACTCCTTTCAGATTTTGCCACCTAGACTTTATCAGATAAAATCTCCTTTTTAAATGTGAACCTCCCCTATCTTGCCAACTGCCATTATCTCTTTCTGTTTCAAAAGATAATTACTCAACATTATCTTTATCTCTCTCATCTTGCCAACTCATGTGCTGATCTGTCATGGGGCCCAGGATCCGAATCTGACATGGCTCAAAACTCTTCCAGCCAATAAAAATTTTACACGTGGCATTAATCTAAAATTTTGCAATTTATGGTGTAAACAGGTATTAATTCAAAGTTTAATTCATTAATAAATAATTACATTTTATAAATTAAATTTAAAATTTAAATATTAAAAATAATATTTAAAAAATTAATTTTTTTCATATATTAAGAGATGCTTCATAAAATTGTTTGTGAAGAGACTAATATACATGAAAAGAGATTTTAAAAATTACCACGATGGTAAATTAAAAATTAAAACCACTTGTAAAGTAAAATTCCATTAATGCCCAGGGGGATCACAATAGTACAAGAAAAAAAGTAAATATTTTTTTATTGCATTTAAGTAGTGGTATTTTTACGATATACCAATGGAAATTCAAATTGAAATTACGGTATTAGACATCGTTTTTAATGGAGGAACTGTACCCAGTTTGGTCATCATAGTATTTTGACCACAGCATCACACCTCCGTACTTCGAATCTCCTTTGATGGCGGGAAACACTTGAGACGTGAGATCGTCTACCGGAATGAACCCACTTCCGGCAGCCTCAGGGGCTGCCGGAAGTCCCAAGAAAATTTGAGTTGCCGGAATATCTTGAGTCCATTGATTCCAGGCATCCACTAAATTTGCAGTGTTTCCGGATGTGTATTGGCAGGGAGGATTGTTGTAGAATTGGACCCAGACGTAGTCAAAAAGACCGGTTTTCAGGGCATCCCCTAGCCAGGCGTCAGGGAAAGGGCACTGAGGAGCCGCCGTCAAGTAAACTTTCTGCCCCTGGTTACTGTATTCGGAAAGGTACTTTGCGAGATCATCCCAGTGCAGGGTCGTCCCTCCCTCGATGTCGAAATCAATGCCATCGAGAACAGCATCTCCGAGCGGGCGGTTAGTTGATTGTCCTCCGAGGAAGTTATTCCAGAGATAATCAGCAACCTGCTTGGCGTCGTCTGCTGAAGAGAGGCAGTAGCTTCCGTCGCCGCCACCAATGGAAAGAATGACTTTGATTCCGTTTGCTTGACACGATTGGATATCGGAGCTCAATCCGGAGCAACCGTTGCCGGAGGGGTCGCAGTGGCCAGCGAGGTTAATCATGGGTGTCTGCCCATCGCCAAATGTTGAAAGAAAAGCTATGTTGACGAAATTATAGTTGCCAGTGGCACAAGTGTCTGCTAAGGTACCTTCGTTCCCGTTCTGTCCCCAGTAGATAGCTATCCCTCCGGCATCAGCTCCAGAAAAGAAAAAAGGAACAATTAAGCAAGAGAAAGCTAACACTGCTGCTGATTTTAATGCCATCATCCTGAATCCTGGAAGCTGTTGTTCTTGGTGATTTTGTTTGGAAACAGGGTTTTTATAAGGGAAAAAGTTGGGTGCGGTTTGGTTATTTCCCACAAAAACGCACAAATCCTTGGTCCAATGAGAACGAAGCGTGGCTTCTACGGTGGCTTGTTTGAAGGAGATTTGTACAAATCAGGAACTTTTTAAAAAGTTTTCAATTAAGTGTATGACTTTCTTTTT